GTTTACTGAGAGCTTACCATTTATTTGAGTATGAAAATATGGTTGAAGTCTAAGGCACGAAGGCCAACAAAGGAAGCTATTTTCAGTTACTTGTTGGTAAAACAAGGGAAGCTATTCTCAGTTACTTGTTTGTAAAACAAGGGTTTTTGTTTGTTTTCTCTGAGGTGGGAGTTATAATAATGGGCATGAGAGAAGATTTTTGTGGGGAGCCTATGAGAGCCGTAAGGGAAGGGGTAGCAGAAGTAGAGAGGGTCCCTGCCTGGATTCTGGTCCCATCTTCAGCTCCTAGAAGCTAGGGAATATCCAGCTCCCTGATAAAGCCCTAGGTGGGCTTCTCCATGTACCAATGAAGCACTGAGATCCATAGTGTCTATTCAGGACATTCTGTGTGTCCCCTCTTGGCTGGCACCCCAAACATGCCCATCTGGAGAGCTGTCAAACATTTGAATTTAATTGGTCTGGGGAAGGAGGAGCCTGTCAGTCTACATTTTGAAAAAGCTCAAGTGGCTCTGATGGGTCTCTCTGGTTAAGAAACCTCAAAATTAGAGAGGGAGTAGGGTTCAACACCAGAGCACAGAACCCAGGGCATTCGGGCCTGGGTTCAAATCCTGGTTGTGCCACGTGTGAGCTGTGTGACCTTGGGAAAGTTACTTAACTTCTCTGAGCCTTGGTTACCTCTTCAGTAAAAGAGCTAATGTACCCACTTTTTCAGAAAATTAATATTTGTAAACTTCTTAGAACAGGCCTTGGCACATAAAATATAAAAATAAATCTCAATCCTTGCCCTGAAGAGAGTGAGCAAATGTTATTTGTGGGCTTTGCCCACTGCACTATGTTACCCCTCTCTATGTGGCAGTGGCCCTTGATCCTTTTAACTGTGTGGTTTTGGAGCAAGTCTCATAACTCCTGCCCTTTTAACTTGACCTGAGGTCACCTAGTGCCTCCCCTCCCCTATCAGCTGAGACATCGCGTTGTGGGCTCCACTCACTGTGAGAGGTGGAGTGGGGAGGGGTAGGTGTGGTGTGGGTTCAGGGCTTCCTGTCCCAGGAGGTCACTTGGCAGAACTTTCACCCTCAGAGCCTGCAAAGCAGGACTTGTCCCCAGAAAACCCAGTCCCTGTCAAGGTTGTGCAGGAGCTCATCCTGGAGTCAGGCCGGAGCAGGGCAGGTAGGTGCCAGCACTCCCTCATGGGCAAACTCATCTTTAGTTTTCCCTCTCCTGAAGTGGGAGGAGAGGAACCAGGTAGACAGGTGCCTTTAATTTTCTTTGCCTGAAAAATGGGTTCTTTGGATGCAGGCAAAATGGGGCAGGGGCTTTCATGTTGTCTAGACTTCAGGTCACCTCATGTGCCTGGCAGGATGTGGCTCAGCCTGGGAGAAGTCATCTCCCTGCCCTGCCCTGCCTAGCTGCTCCTCCCCCCCAGGCTGTCTGCATGATGACATCCTTGGGAAAGGCCCTCAGCGCGCAACACCTGTCAGCTGCTGTCTGAAAGAGGCAGTGGCCCAGGTGGAGTGATGGGGAGGAGCTCAGGCAGAACTAAAGGCAGAGAGAAATAATAATAATATTTTCCAAGCGCTTCTATATACTAGGTACTGCTCTAAGCACATTTTCTACATTAACTCAGTTAATCCTCACATCTGTCCTCTGAGACATTCACTATTGCTGTCTCCATTTTATAGATGAGGAAAATAGAGCCCAGAGAAGTTAAGCCACTTGTCCAGGTTCACCCAGCAGGGCCTGGATTCCAACCCAGGTGGCCTGGTTCCAGAGCCCTCACTTTTAACCACCAAGATCAGCCTCCCAACTCTGTCCCATCTGCCTTGCCTGGAGGGACCCACGGATCAACTGCTTGAGCATGCTTCTACAGCCCTGCTTTAGACTTGCATGCAGTCCCATTTTACAGATGAGGAAATTGAGGCCTGAAGACGTTAAGTGACTTTTTTAAAGTTGAGATAGTAAGTGGCAGAGCTAGGACTAAAACCCAGGTGTTTTTATTTTTATTTATTTATTTAGAAGATGTTGGGGGTAGGAGTTTATTAATTAATTTATTTATCTTTGCTGTGTTGGGTCTTCGTTTCTGTGCGAGGGCTTTCTCTAGTTGTGGCAAGTGGGGGCCACTCTTCATCGTGTTGCACGGGCCTCTCACTATCGCGGCCTCTCCCATTGCGGAGCACAGGCTCCAGACGCGCAGGCTCAGTAGTTGTGGCTCACAGGCTTAGTTGCTCCGCGGCATGCGGGATCCTCCCACACCAGGGCTCGAACCTGTGTCCCCTGCATTAGCAGGCAGATTCTCAACCACTGCGCCACCAGGGAAGCCCTAGAACCCAGGTGTTTTTTACCCCAAAGTCCAGGGTAGTTTTAAGTAGCTGAGCAGGATTACTCCACATGAGCATCTAGATGGAGGGTTCAGGAGGCTCGAGGAGCTGTCCATTTACTTGGGAATTGACCTCCTGGCCAGGTCTGGGGTTAGGAAACTGCTGGACTCTGGCAATTCACACAGACTTGGGGCATTCACACCCATGAGGGACACCTCAGGGGGGAAAACAAATTGATTTTACCTGATAATACCTGGTGGTAAACAGGACCCTGATCCCTGCTATTGCAATAAACCTGCCTTTGTTGACATACATAAACTTGCCCTTCAGCTGCCCACTTCCCCAGTGACCTTGGGGTGCCAGGCTGGCTGAGCTCTGCCCCAACCCTTTGTGTGTTGCTGGGGGGTTGGGAGAGCCTGTGGGAGGGAAGTGGGGGAAAATCAGCCAGAAGGAACCAGAGTGATCCTCTCACCTCATGTTCTAGTAAGAAGACCTCGCCTGAGGTTACAGAGTGAAGCACGGCCGGGTAAGGGAGGGTCTGATTTCTCCGGTGACCAGGGTCTTACTTGTGTTCCAGCTGCAGGCACCATGTCAGAGCCATCCAGGGATGCCCATCAGATCCCACGCAGCAGCAGGGCATGCCGCCGCCTCTTTGGCCCGGTGGACAGTGAGCAGCTGCGCCGGGACTGCGATGCCCTGATGGCCAGCTGCGTGCAGGAGGCCCGAGAGCGATGGAACTTCGACTTTGTCACCGAGACACCACTGGAGGGTGACTTCGCCTGGGAGCGCGTGAGGGGCTTTGGCCTGCCCAAGATCTACCTGCCTGCAGGGCCCCGGGGGACCCGGGACGACCTGGGAGGGGGCAAGTGGCCGAGCACCTCATCTGCCCTGCTGCAGGGGACATCTCAGGAGGACCACGTGGACCTGTCACTGTCCTGCACCCTCGTGCCTCGCTCCCCTGAGCGGCTTGAGGGGTCCCCGGGAGGGCCGGGCACCTCCCAGGGACGAAAACGGCGACAGACCAGCATGACAGGTGAGGACAAGTGCAGAGAAGGATACTGCAAGGGATCAAGACTCTCAGAATTCATGGTGCAAGGGCTGGACTATCTGGCCCAGCTTCCTCATACCTCAGAGGGGGAAACAGGCCCAGAGAGGGGAAGTGACTTGCCTGAGGTCACACAGCTAGCCTGCTGCCAAGACCAACCAGCTAACATTTATTTGGAACATTGATTATATGCCAAGCCCTTTGCTAAGTTTCTAGATTTCTTTCAGTCCTTATAGCAATCCTATACCATAAGACATTCTTGCCATCCTTCTGTAGGCAAAGAAACAAGGCTCAGAGAGGTAGAATGATTTGCCTAAGGTCCCGCAATGAATTTGCAGTGGAGAGAAAGCTAATGAGAATTTCCTGGCTGTCCTATTCAAACTTAACTCCCCTTCCCCAACACACATACACACCTCCAGCTGCCCTTCCCTGCCTATTTTTCTCTTTTTGGCACTTTTTAAACTATCAACAGCTACTTCCTTATCTTGATATTGTCCGTCTCCCCAACTACGATATTATCTCCACAAGAAAGGAATCTGTATCTCTGTTGTTCACTGCTGAATCCTCAGCACCTAGGATGGTATCTGACACATAGCAGGTGCTTGAGGAAAACTGAATGAATGATACTGACATTTGAACACTAAGTATGCCAGGCCTTCAACCAAAGTCTTTTTTTTTTTAATTTTTTACTTTGAAATTTTATTATTATTACTGTTATTATTATTATTATTTTTGGCTTCACCATGCACGGCTTGCAGGATCTTAGTTCACTGACCAAGGATTGGACCTGGGCCCTTGGCAGTGAAAGCATGGACTCCTAACTACTGGACCACCAGGGAATTCCCCATCAACCAAAGTCTTTTAGAGAGCATTTCATTTAATCCTCAGAGCACCATACCAGTGTTATCCTCACTTTATAGGTGAGGAAACTGAGGCTTAGAGAGATGCAGCCAAGAATCCCACAGCTAATTTGCAGCTGGGTCAGAACTAACAATAATGATAATGATAATAATAATAATAATAATAATAGCTAACTTTATACAGGCCAGGCATTGTGCAGAACACTTTTCATGGATTATCTAATGCAATCCCCAGAGCAGTGCTATCCGATAGAACTCTGTAAAGATGCAAATGTCCAGTGCCGCTGGCCACATATGGCCGCCAAGTACTTGACATCTGGCTAGTGTGACTGAGGAATTGAATTTTTCATTTTGTTTAATGTTAGTTAATTTAAATAACCACATAGGATTAGTGGCTACTGTATAGGGCAGCTTGGCTTACAGCCGGCCCATTGGCGTAGGTCCTATTATTAATCACATCTGTGAAGCGTGGTGGGATGCTCTGGAAATGCTCCTCTGGGAGATGGGCCAGAAGTTGCCAGAGTTCTTCCCTGTACTTGGCAGTGTGTCCCTCTGGCCCTGGGGAGGGGTCCCTGGCCCCTCTGCAGTTTGCGTTGGATGGGTGGTTCTACTGGGCCCTCTTCCTCCTGGCCTGGCTGACTTCTGTTCTCTCTCCTCAGATTTCTATCACTCTAAACGCCGGCTGATCAGCTCCAAGAGGAAGCCCTAACCCAGCCACTGGAAGCTGGGTCATCCTGGAAACAAGGGGGCCACTGTAGGCCTCTTCTACATCTTTTGCCTGATTCCTTCAGTTTGTGTGTCTTAATTATTATTTGTGTTTTAATTTAAACTCCTCATGTATATACGCTGCTTACCCCCACTCTCCTCATACCCCCAGCCTCTGGCATTAGAATTATTTAAAAAAAAATTAGGTAGCAGAAAAATAGGCTTATTAGAGTGCTAGGTATTTTTATTATGTGAACTATTATTTAAGCCCTCCTCATCCTTTGCTGTCCATTTCCTCTCTCCCTGAGGTACGGTGAGGCTGGCATGACCCTCACCCGCTGGGTGGTACTCTCTGGAGGTACCTGGCTCCCTACCCTCACCGTCTGATGGGTATTACAAAATTCTGCCCCTTTCCCGAATTCTCAGACCTGAATTCCTTGTAATTTGAGAAGTGAACAGATAGCACTTTGAAGGGGACCCAACAGAGTGGGGGGCATCATCAAAACTTTGAGGTCCCCTCACTCCCCTCTAAGGTTGGGCAGGGTGACCTTGAAGTGGGCACAGCCTGGAACAGGGCTGGGGATTTGATACCCTCGTGGCCCTTGATAACCCCCTTGGTCCCATGAAGGCGTGGGGAAGGTCGGGTCCCGTAGCAGACCACCCCACCTCCCCTCCACCCGTGGGGGAGCCGGCCTCAGTGTTTGGCTTCGCCTTCCCCTGCACTTTTCTAGGGGCCCCAGAGGCCCCTCTTTCCCAGCTGGGCTCTCTGCTCCTCTCCCTTCCTCCATGTCCTTTCCCTTTTGTACCTTCTCAGCCCTGGGTGGCAGCTCCGGGGTGCCTGTCCCCCCAACTCAGTGGACTGGAAGGGGAAGGGGCATGCTAGAAGTAGGGTTCCCCAGTTCTACCTCAGGCAGCTCAAGCAGTGACCACCCCCTCCTCTTAGCTCTTGGGGTGGTGGTCCTGGATGGTCAGACAGGCCTCCTTGAATGGGGATCTCTCTATGTGAGGGGTATGTGGGTGAGAAGCAGGAGGGAGATTGTGACGCCAGCCCGTGGAACTCATCCAAGGACGTTTTCCATTTGCCCCACCCCTCCCCCATTTCATTGCACTTTGAATAGCAACTGAACAAGGAGTTAGGTGTTTTATGATGGCGGGAGTAGAGGCTATGGATATGGCACACTAAGTGGGTAGATATGGGCCCGGGAGCTGTGAGTTGTTGTCTTTCCTGGCACTGAACCACTTGGTGGCTCTGACCCCAGACACCTTCCAGCTCCTGTAACATCCTGGCCTGGACTATTTTCTCCTGGCTCCCATATGTCCTGGTTCCTCTGTCTCCACCTAGACTGTAAACCTCTCAAGGGCAGAGGATATGTCCTGTACTGCCCTGTGTCCTTCAAAGCCCCTCCCACAGTGCTGGATATACAGTAGGTGCTCAATAAATATTTCTGGTGACTTCACTTGTAATATTACTGTTGTCGTCAATATACCTTGTTATTTATAAGAACAAATAGGTGGAGGTTTTTTGGATTTTTTTTTTTTTTTTTTTTTTTTTTT